CATACAGCTTTGGAGGACCAGAGTGAAAATGGTGGCCTCCCAATCTCCACCCCATAGGAGCCGAGAACTCGGGGCCCCGCTCCTCAGTGAGCCCCCAGAGAAAAGCAGTCAGTAACTCCTGTCTCCCTGGTCTCTGGCCACACTCTGTGCTTACCCGGTCTGTTCCCCAGCATTTCTATCTCTGGCACACAACCCTGTGTGGAGTCTCCAAACCCAGCAGATTCCTGCGGTACACTCCTGCGCTGCTCCTTCTGGGGAGGAAGGGGAGTCTCCCCGGATCTGCCGCTTGTTGAGTCCATGCTGGAGCAGCAGTGGCCCGACTGTGCAGCGGATCACGGTTATATGGCAACCCTGAACTGAGAGCCCACTCCTCCACTCCTTCTCTGCAGTCAGCTTCCCCGCTCTGATACCTGGGAGCTCTGCCACACTCAAGCACCCTGGTCTTTCTGTGACCCCCAAGGGTCCTGAGACCGCACTGTCCCAGCAAGTGTTCCACCCCCTGCTTAGCCACTGGAGCGACATCCCTCAGCGGAGCAGGCTTCTAAAATTTCCGATTTTGTGCTCTGCTGCTCTATCACTTGCCAGTAGCGGCTGATTGAGGCCCCCTCCCCCGCCGTCTATCCTCCCAAATATCACCTTGGATTCACTTCTCTGCATGTCCTACTTTCCAGAAAGTGGTTGCTTTTCTGTTCAGAGAGTTGCTGCTATTCTTTTCTTTGATCTCCTGTTGAGTTCGTAGGTGTTCATGATGGTCTGATCCGTATCTAGGTGAATTCCTGGGACCAGATGAAATTTAGGTCTCCTACTCCTCTGCCACCTTGCTCCTCCCTACATCATTAGTTTTTTGTTTTTGTTTTTGTTTTTTAAGATTATATTTATTTATTTGACAGAGAGAGAGAGAGAGAGAGCACAAGCAGGGGGAGCAGCAGAGAGAAGCAGACTCCGCGCTGAGCAAGGAGCCTGATGTGGGACTTGATCCCAAGACCTTGGGATCATGACCTGAGCCAAGGGCAGACGCTTAATGACTGAGCCACCCAGGCACCCCATCTACATCATTAGGTTTTGATGTAGTGTTCCATGATTCATTGTTTGCGTATAACACCCAGTGCTCCATTGAGTATGTGCCCTGTTTAATACCCATCACCAGGCTAACCCATGCCCCCACTCCCCTCCCCTCTAGAACCCTCAGTTTGTTTCTCAGAGTCCATAGTCTCTCATGGTTTGTCTCCCCCTCAGAATTCCCCTCCTTCATTTTTCCCTTCCTACTATCTTCTTCTTCTTCTTTTTTTTTAACATATAATGTATTATTTGTTTCAGAAGTACAGGTCAAGATTTTAAAACAATATTTCAGATAACCCAGTAGTTCAAATGCATAGCATTTTCAAAGTTACCTTAAGGGAAGGAGTACAAGAGAAGAGAGAAAGTAGCTAACATTTATTGATCACTTACTGTGCAGGTGGGTTAAATGAGTTAAAATGGGCAAGCACATAACTACACTAAGGCTCAGTGCATTAGCATTAGTATTGTTGTAGAGGAGTGATCATAGAATTTGTTCACTGAGCTTAGTATTACAGAAAGATTAAGTTTCCCACTGCATCAAGGCAGGCAGGAAATGCTGGCTGGAGAGATCAACTTGTGTAGAGTTGTGAAACAGCCATAGCATTATTTAGAACTTTAAGTTGTTTGATTTGTCTGAGGGAGAAAGGGAAATTTAACACTGATAAATCAGAATATATAGCTCTTTTGATTAAACCGAAATTAGTAGATCAGTCTTATTTGCTAACACTTTACATTAACAAGGCAAACTTGGATTCTTAGGGTTTTTTTAGTTTGTGTAAGAATGTTTCTTCAGCACTTTTAAAGTATTAGAAGTTCAATGTTTTATTTTAAAGGAATTTTAGAAATACTTTATGTAAATGCTTATTTATCTCTATAACTCAGAACAGAGAGTTACTTTAATATAAGAGTTTATTATTTATAGCAGCAGGAAAATCTAACATATACAATGAAAGAAAAGGCCTTTCTGATTTAGAAACAGAAACATAATGACACAGAGAACAGAGAAAACTTATAGCTTCAGTTCTACAATTTCAGTTCAAGATTAAATTCAGAAACATAAAATCCCTGGTCTAGATATCAAAAAGTTGTTCTCCTTCACCATGGGCACAGAATTCTTAATTGATTTGAGTGCAAAATGGACAAATACACAAATAAAAATCTTTGTTCTTTCTCACCAAAAAGACCTTTTGATAATTTATTAATTGATTTACAGAGATTTTGTCATTTTTCACCCATATGAGCTGTCCAGATTGTGTCATTTCTCACCCAGAAGAACTCTTGATAATTAATCCTTTTACAGAGATTACCAAGTGACAAGACATAAAACCAAATTCTTAATCATTGCTGCCACCAGTAGGGAATAATTTACCTGCCATAAGCAAACTAGAAATACAAAACACAAAATCCATAGGGAAGATAGTATAAAGTTAGAAGTTCATAGAAAGACCAAGAAACAGACTGTTAACTATAGAGAACAAACTGATGGCTACCAGAGGGGAGGTGGGTGGGGGGGATGGGTAAAATAGATGATGAGGGGGGATTAAGAGTATACTTATCATGATGAACCCTAAGTAATGTATAGAACTGTTGAATCATTATATTGTACACCTAAAACTAATACAACACTCTACCTATACTGGTGTTAAAATTAAACACTTAATTAAAAAGAGATCTAGAGTCAGCAGAGTGAAAATTCTGTCACTGCTTGTGTTTTACCTCAAAGCCAAAAGAAGACATGTCTGGGTTTAAGCTACCCATACCTGGTTCTACAAGGTGAATCCATTATACATCTCCGTGGAACTTCCAAAAATGATAAAGGATTTTTTTTTTAAGTAAAACCATGTTTCTCCTACAAATATAAAATGAACATGTGTCAAATATTTCATTTAATTCATTAATTAATAAGGGAACCACAAAGGAATTAAAATTGGTTCAAAGGAGAATTCGATGATGATACCAAAAAAATCAGCGCATCAAAAATGCTGAAATGGAAGTACTTAATAGAAAAAAACTTGTTTTTTCTACCTGAAGGAATCAGTTGAACATTCACTAGACAGATTGTACATTTCAGTGGATGTGGTATTTCTGTAAGTTAACTTTGATCTCTACAGAGTTGTGAAATATTCTAGTCAAAGACAGTGATAGGCAGAGGTAACTGATGGATGAGCTAAGGCCTTTCTCACATTTTCCTTTCATTCATTTCACAAATACTTATTGTATATTCATTCATTTCACAAATACTTATTGAGCATTTACTATAACCCAGGCATTATTCTGTGTACTGGGGATTCAGCAGTGAACAAAACAGACAAAATTCCTTTCCCTGTGGAGCTTACATTATAGAGTTCATGTTATTTGGAACATGATGAGTTTGAAGTGATAATAGGACAAACAAATAGATCCTCTTAAAAACTTCTGGAGTTGGGGCCCCTGGGTGGCTCAGTCGTTAAGTGTCTGCCTTTGGTTCAAGTCATGGTCCCAGGGTCCTGGGATCAAGCCCCGCATTGGGCTCCATGCTCGGCGGGAAGCCTGCTTCTCCCTCTCCCACTCCACCTGCTTGTGTTTCCTCTCTCACTGTGTCTCTGTCAAATAAATAAAATCTTAAAAAAAAACCCAAAACCAAACTTCTGGAGTCAATGATTCTAAAAACTAAGAAAGACATAAGTTTTAAATACGTGGATGAGCTCCTCTGAGGATCTGAACAGATAATTCTATGTTTATTTTCAGGTTTTGATTAAAATAGATTTTTTCCCTCATTCCTTATTTGTAACATTCTTATTTTTTTCATTTAATGACATAATATCAATGGTTCAGGGTTTCTTACTAATAGATCGTAGGCTTATATTTTTAGAAACACATGCTAAAAATGTTTCTGCTTCTTTTAATTTTTATCTCTCAGTAGCAAAATAAATTCTTAATGTCTTAAAATGTAAAAAATACCCATTGGTTTTTTTCCCCAAAGGCACTTTAGTTGAATATTGCACATGATTTAAATATGCATTCAGAAGCACAATATACATATAGAGGGAAAAATCAGAATCTGCACTTAGCAATGTACAGGTTTTGACAACCTCTTAGATAAATAACCACAAATTAGAAACTGCTGGGAGTCCTCTCTATCCACCCCTCCCCCTCCCATAGATAAAGATTCATTTTGTTTCCTTGTGAAAAAGAGACTAAGCATTTTCCCATGTCATTTGAATTCACAGAATGTGAATGGCTTTTTTTTTTCCTGACTATTTGAGCCTGACTGTATTTTCCCTTGAATTATAATTTGGTTAATTATATTTCATGAATGGATATTTAAAAGGCTGGCCTAAATCAGAATCAACAGTGATGGGCTAGGAAAGTTTCTTTATATAGTTGTCTGGTACATTTTAGCAGGTGCTTCCCAAATTCCCATTTCCTTCCCACGTTTCCCATGTTTCTTTTTGGCAGCACTCAGCCAGCTATTTAACAATGTACTGACATTCTGCTTCAACAACCTCGCACCAGCAGGAATTAATGTAAATACAAAGACATTTTAAAAATGCTTACTGGTCCTTTAAAACATAATTGGCTGCCTTCCTTATTTTTGTAATTTATACAGTGTATTTAAAATTTTTAGAATGAATACCCAAGACATTTTGAATAAGAGTATTCTGGACTTTAAATAAATATCAATAATATAGCTGTGAGGGAGGAATAAAAATATTGACATTCAGTTTTAAAATCTGACTTTAAGCATGCTGAAGTACTTAGGAGTAAAATGCATTAACCATTTACACATTGCACACATCAACAGTGTTAATGATCATTGAATTAGTTTGTGGATATATGGGAATTCATTGTCCTATTATACAGTTTTCTGTAATTTTGAGATTTTTCATAATAAAATGGTGGAACAAAACTGTTAGATGTAATAATCTATATGAAATAATTTATTCCCTTTGAAATCCTAGGAAGGTAAGAATGCACGTTCATAACACCAACAAAATTACAAGGATTTACAATGTAATTGGAACGATCAGAGGATCTGTGGAACCTGGTGAGTCTGAGTGTTTTTAAACACTTCATTTTTACAAAGATTAGAAGAGTAAGAGAAAATAAACTTCAGTCGATAACTGATTCTTTTTTTCTCTGACTGATGTGAAACAACTAATTGTACAACTCTAAGAGAAACCTCTACCTTACAGTGTTGATTTTTTTCCCCCCTATGGAGGAAACTCAACCAAAAAGGAAGCTTAATTTAAAAACCTAAATCACAACTACTTGTAATGTATTGAAAGTTGTAGTTCTTTTGAACACCTTATTTTCCAGACAGGTATGTTGTTCTAGGAGGTCATCGGGACTCCTGGGTGTTTGGAGCTATTGACCCAACCAGTGGGGCTGCTGTTTTGCAAGAAATTGTCCAGAGTTTTGGAAAACTGATGAGCGGAGGTAAATAATGTTTTCTTAGTAGGTGATGACAAAAAGTGACTCACTTAATTGTCATCTATTTTTAGGCAGGCGTACCTAATTAATGTATGTTAACAATGATTGCAGGCTGGAGACCTAGAAGAACTATCATTTTTGCCAGCTGGGACGCAGAAGAGTTTGGTCTGCTGGGGTCCACAGAATGGGCTGAGGTAAATATGACCAGAGGTTCTTGTTATTTTCTTGGTCAACAGGGAAACAAATACATGTATCTCAGGATGAGCACATATACATTCCATTAGCTAAAATGGTTTTAATTTGGAGAAAGACTCAAGAATTTAAGAAATAGAGTTTGTTTTTACTTTCACATTAGTTTGGCAAAGCAGAATAACTTCTTAATTACTGGACCAAAACCAGGTTTATTCTTGTTAAAACATTTTGGTTTCCATTTGATTTGTTTTGTGAATAAGTAAAATTTGTAAGCGCAGAGAATAATCAAAACTAGCAAGCTTTTCTGACAAGAGGGTTGGCCTATGTAAAAATGGATACAGATTCTTGGCATTAATTTTCAAGTTTTTGAAGTTTCCTTGGAGTTCTATTTAAGAAAACCTATGATGTTCTTACCTAAGAAAACCTAAGGTAACTGTACTTTGATTATAACTTTACATTTGTAGATTCCATATCAATTGCAGCCATAGGTATATTTTACCATTCTACAAAAGATAAGTGCTTGATTGATGAGTAGAAGATAATTTTGTAAATGGAATTACTTTAGTAAATTGCATGTATAATTTCAGATATTTACTTTTTCTTCAGATACGATTGATTTTCATGTTACACTGGCTCCTAATGCTTTAAGTATCTCTCCTAGGCCCCCTTGTTTCATCTTCTTCCTTTAGCCTCCCTATCGAGTAACTAAGTTCTTTAATGTACAAGGTGAGGACACACATTTTGTAAAGACAGGTGCACTATATAAGCACTTACTCTCCCAGCACGATGTATTTATCTTTTATGAGTTGAGATTTTTAGCATTATTTTAAAGCATGTTATATACTTGTTGTTATTATCTAGTTTTTAAAATACTTTCCCCTGACTCATTTCCTCTTACGTTACTTTAAATGATCGTGTGAATGAAATAAGTATGGGAGTAAAATCACACACACTTACTTGTCTCTGTCGCTTATGCTTATATTCAATTGACATTGCAAAGTTTTATTATCACATTGGTAATTATGAATATGCATTTTGGAAGTAGACTGTTTAGATGAATCAAATTTCCTTTACTTTTAGAAATGTAAATTCTTGTGAATACGTGTATATATAAATACACGTCTCTGTTTCTCTAATTTTAGCAGCTTAAAGAACAAAAAATCTAAGATATAAAGTAATAAATATACTATGCATTAATTCAGATAAATCTGGGTTAGGGACAGTTTCAACATTTTCCAATTCTTGATCATATTCAGCAGCATATTTTCTTTAAATATAGTTAAGGAATCTTCTTTATTTCTACTAAAAATGTGTTGTAATGGAAACTCTGTATGTATCTATAACAGAGACACCTACCATCTGGCCACTGTAGGCAAGTGAAGATAGGCAATAGTTCTCATTTGTGCCATAACCACTCACAGCTTTAATTTTTTACTGTAATCTTTTTAAAATTTAAGTATAGTTGACAGACAATATTATATTAGGTGTACAAATTGTGGATTGACAGTTTTATACATTATGCAGTGCTCACCACAATAAGTGTAGTTACCATCTATCATCATATAAAGTTATTATATTATTGACTGTGCTGTACTTTGCATCTTCATGACTTATTATTTATAACTGTAAGTTTGTACTTATTAATCCCTTCACCTATTTTGCCCATCCTCCCACTCCCCTCCCTTCTGGCAACCACCAGGTCTCTGTATTAGCTTTTGTTTATTTGTTCATTTGTTTTTTTCTTAGATTCCACATAGAAGTAAAATAATGTGGTATTTGTCTTTCTCTGTCTGACTTAATTCAGTTAGCATAATAACCCTCTAGGTTCATCTGTGTTGTCACAGATGGCAAAATTTCAGTCTTTTTTATGGCTGAGTCATATTCCAGTGTGTACACACACACACACACACACCCCACATCTTCTTTATTCATCCATTGATGAACACATTAGATTACCTCCATATCTTGGCTATTGTAAATAATGATATAAATATAGGGGTTGCATGTATCTTTTTGAATTAGTGTTTTCACATTCTTTGGGTAAATACCCAGGAGAGGAATTGCTGGATCATATGGTAGTTCTAATTTTAGTTTTTCAAGAAATCCACATACTGTTTTCTCTGATGGCCACACCAATTTACATTCCCACCAACAGTGTATGAGGGCTCCCTTTTATCCACATCCTCATCAACACTTGTTACTTATTTTTTGATACTAGCCATTCTGATAGGTATGAAATGATACCTCATTGTGGTTTTGATTTGCATTTCTCCGAGTAGTGACGTTGAGCATCTTTTTATGTGTCTGTTGGCCATCTGTATATCATCTTTGAAAAAAATGTCTCTTCAGGTCCTCTGCCCATTTTTTAAGTGGATATTAGAGATCTTTTTGGTTTTGAGTTATATCAGTTCATTATATATTTTGGATATTAATTATCAGTACATCATTTGTAAATACCTTCTGTCATTCAGTAGGTTGCCTTTTTGGTTTGTTGTGTTTTGTTTTGTTTTGTTGTTTTTTGCTGTGCAAAAGCTTTCTATTTTGATGTAGTCTCAGTTGTTTATTTTTGCCTTTGTTTCCCTTGCCTGAGGAGATAGATCCAGAAAAATATTACTAAGCCTGATGTCCAAGACATTACTGCTTATGTTTTCTTTTAGGAGTGTTATGGTTTCAGGTCTTACATTTAGGTCTTTAATACATTTTGAGTTTATTTTTGTGTCCGATGTAAGAAAGTGATCCACTTTCATTCTTTGGCATTCATCTGCCCAGTTTCCCCAGCACCATTTATTGAAGAGACTGTCTTTTCCCCATTGCATGTTCTTGCCTCCTTTGTCATAGATTAATTGCCATAAATGGGTTTATTTCTGGCTCTTATTCGGGTCCATTGATCAATGTGACTCATTTTTGTGCCAGTACCATACTGTTTTGATTAATATAGCTTCTTATTATAGTTTGAAATGTGGGATTATGATGCCTCCAGCTTTGTTATCTTAAGATTACCTTGTTTTTTTATGGTCCATTGTAGTTCCATACAAATATTAGGATTATTTGTTCTAGTTCCCTAATGAAAAATACTGTTACTGGTATTTTGATAGGGATTGCAGTGAATCCATAGATGGCTTTGGGTACTATGGATATTTAAAAATATTAATCCGTTCTACAGCATGGTGCATCTTTCCATTTGGTGGTGTTATCTTCAGTTTCCTCCAACGATGTTTTGTACTTTTAGAGTACAGGTCTTTCACCTCCTAGGTTAAATTTATTCCTAGGTATTTTATTCTTTTTTGTGCAATTATAAATGGGATTCTTTTCTTAAAATCTCTTTGTGCTACTTTGTTATTAGCATATAGAATCAACATATTTCTGTATGTTAATTTTGCATCTAGCAACTTTATCATTTATTACTTCTCTTAGTGTTTTGGTGGAGTCTCTAGGGTTTTCTATATATAGTATCATGTCATCTACAAGTAGTGACAGTTTTACTTTTTCCATACCAATTTGGATGCCTTTTCTTTTTCTTGTCTGACTGCTACAGCTAGGACTTTCAATACAATGTTGAAAAAGGTGGCAAGATGAACATCCTTGTCTTGTTGCTGATCTTAAGATCCTTACATCTCTGGAATAAATCCCACTTGATCATGATAAATGGTCCTTTTAATGTATTGTTGGATTTGGTTTCCTCATATTCTGTTGAGAATTTCTGAGTCTGTGTTCATCAGGGATATTAGCCTATAATTTTCATTTTCTTTTTTTGAGTGTCCTATAATTTTCATTTTCTCTTTCTTTCTTTCTTTCTTTCTTTTTTTTTTTTTTTTTTTTTTGAGTGTCTTTATCTGGTTTTGGTATCAGGGTGATGCTGGCCTCATAGAATGAATTGGAAGTTTTATTTCCTCTTCTATTTTTTGGAATAGTTTGAGAAAGAGAGCTTTAACTCTTCATAAATGTTTGGTAAAAGTCATCTGTGAAGCCACTGGGCCTGGACTTCTGTTTGTTGGGGGTTTTTTGGTTATGGGTCCAATTTTGTTACAAGTAATTGGTCTGCTCAGATTTTCTATTTCTTCCTAATTCAGTTTTAGAAGATGTACATTTCTAGAATTTTGTTTCTTCTAGGTTGTCAAGTTTGTTGGTGTATAATTTTTTTTTATTATTAACATATAATTTATTATTTGTTTCAGGGGTACAGATCTGTGATTCATCAGTCTTACACAATATACAGCGCTCACCACAACACATACCCTCCCCAGTGTCCATCACCCAGCCACCTCATCCTGCCCACCTCCCCTCCACTCCAGCAACCCTCCATTTGTTTCCTGAGATTAAGAGTCTCTTGTGGTTTGTCTCCCTCTCTGGTTTCATCTTGTTTCATTTTTCCCTCCCTTGCCCTATGATCCTCTGCCTTGTTTCTCAAATTCCACATATCAGTGAGATCATATAATTCTTCCTCTGATTTGACTTATTTTACTTAGCATAATACCCTCTAGTTCCATCCACGTCATTGCAAATGGCAAGATTTCATTTCTCTGATGGCTGCATAATATTCCATTGTATATATATACACCACATCTTCTTTATCCATTCATCTGTCGATGGATATCTGGGCTCTTTCCACAGTTTGGCTATTGTGGACATTGCTGCTATAAACATTGGGGTGCAGGTGCCCCTTCTCTTTTTTTTTTTTTTTTTAAGATTTTATTTATTTATTTGAGAGAGAGAATGAGATAGAGCATGAGAGGGGGGAGGGTGAGAGGGAGAAGCAGACTCCCTGCTGAACAGGGAGCCCGATGCGGGACTCGATCCAGGGATTCCAGGATCATGACCTGAGCCGAAGGCAGTCGCTTAACCAACTGAGCCACCCAGGCGCCCCAGGTGCCCCTTCTCATGACTACATTTGTATCTTTGGGGTAAATACCCAGTAGTGCAGTTGCTGGGTCATAGGGTAGCTCTGTTTTCAACTTTCTGAGGAAACTGCATACTATTTTCCAGAGTGGCTGCACCAGCTTGC